AAATAAACAATTCAAATTTAATAAAATAAAATTCATCTAAATCTTAAATAGTTTTAAAGATTTATATTTGATAAATAATAATTTATAAATATAATTTTAATTAAATATTTTTATTTAGAAAATTATTATACAAATAACTTATTGTTTAGTTGTTATAGTAACTTTTATAAATCATATGAAAATTTAATTAAAACCTTTGCGTCTCTTAATGCTAATTGAAATGCCGTCTCCTTTCCGATGCCAGTGTTAGCACCGGTCACCACAACTACCTTTCCCTTCAGTTTTCGACTACTTTTAACAACACGTCTCCAACCAACGAAATTAGTGATAAATTCACAAAATATAATGTTTAATAAACGTAAAACATGTATTAACTTCATTTTGAAATGCTAATATAATTATTATAAAAATGAAATTTAATATTTCTTGTCCATTATATTTAACTAGTATTTTGTGTTTAATTTTATAAAATGATTGTGTAGTTTGTGAATGAATTGACGAAAAATATATTTTCTAAAGATATATATATATATATATATAATTGTTTGTATGTCTGTTATCAAGCCACTAGAATAAGATTTTCATTTATAAGACTATTCAGTGCAAATAACTTTTTTTTACTAACAAGCACACCTCAAGATATGGGGTCATTTTTCCAGAAACGGAAATTTCCAAAAAATGGTTTTTTGAGTCCCCTTTAGCAAATAAAAATCAAACAAATTTCAATTAAAATAACATTATTATTCATTTATTTATCAAAATAATTGTATATTGATATTAATAAAACATTTGTAAAACATTATCAAATATTTATATAGATTAACATACATGGCCTCCTGAGCCCACTAATACCTTTTTTAAATTAATATAGAATTAAGTATCGTTAGTTTGGTCTTTAATATCTTCCGGGAAAAATAATTCCTTATGCTCGAACCACGAAGTATATTTTGGTTTAGTTTTTGACAATTTTGGGGGTGGCTCACTGTATGTATCAGGCTTTGTTTATCACGTAAAATATTATAAAATATTTATCCTTCAGTTTATTCACGAAAAAAATTGAAATTTAACATTTTCCCAAATATTTCTTAACGTTAAAACAAATTTTAAACTTTAATTACGTATTAAAATATATTTTATGAGTTTAAATATAATAAACATATTTATATGAGCATATTAATTCATGCAATTATTCCAAAGACATTATATAACCTTGGGTTTTATTCAAACTCATATTTCTATGTTTGTCGTCTTTTTATATTACTTTTACAATAAATATTTTTTGAATTGCATATGATTAAACACTTTACTCATATTACTCTAATTTAAATTGACATTTGCCCCTTTGCCACAAAACCATTTTTTGGGAATTTCCGTTTCTGGAAAAATGACTCCATATCTTGAGGTCTGCTAACAAGTAAAATAACTTTATTTTAGTTAAAACAGTTTAAGTTAATTTTTATTACCGTAATTTAAATAGAAATATATACTACGTAGAAATAATAAAGTATACAAATTTTCTAGTAACATTTAATTTAATATAATTTAAGAATATTAATATTATATATCTGATTTTAACTTGTTTCTTTTCAATCTTTAACTTAAAAATAAAGTCCAATATTAATATAATATATCATAAAATTGTGTAATGTTTAGCGTAATTTCAGCTTTATTTTAGTGAAACTATTTTTATTTTTTGATATTGCTTTATGATTATGATAACAGGGTAAATGTTTCAAGGAAAATTAGTAGAAAAATATTAAAATAACAATTTAAGAATAATGTTGTCTGCAAAATTACAATTTAAAATAAACAATTCAAATTTAATAAAATAAAATTCATCTAAATCTTAAATAGTTTTAAAGATTTATATTTGATAAATAATAATTTATAAATATAATTTTAATTAAATATTTTTATTTAGAAAATTATTTATTTATAAATGCTTTTAAATCTAGTAAAATAGTTATGTTTGTAAATATTTCTTGAAAATCTTAATTTCCAAATGTTAATGAATTAAATCCTGAGATGATCTTCAAGTTTGACAAAGTCTTCACTCAATATCCAGAGAGCTTTGGCGGTCTTGTCGTCATTGGCTTCGGCTATCATATAATCAATTCGCCGACAATTGCTGTCAATTTAAATACCAATTAATTATTTGAAAAACATATTAATTACAAGACATGACATACTCATAGAAATATCCGGTCTCATCGTCCAGATCCTCCTCCAGAGCGCAATACAGTGTAGTCTGGGATCCCATGAAAGGTGTCATAAATAGGTTTCTCCTCATAAATCCCTTTCCTTTTGGTTTGTCATCGCTTTTCTCAACATGTCTTTGTAAATCAGTATCAATGGCACCGGGATTTAATGAATACGTGTTGATGTAGGTATGTCTTAATCTTTTAGCCAACTCCCGGCTAAATAAGACATTTGCGAGTTTGCTCTGTCCGTAGGCCAAGAATGGGTGATAATCACCGTTTCGGAGGTTTATGTTATTTAAATGGATTTCTCCGAACTTATGGGCACTCGAAGACACGTTTACAATACGAGCCGCCGATGACTTCTTCAGTAATGGCACCAAATGTAATGTTAACAGAAAGTGACCTAAAATTATATTAATAGTTATTTTTAATATACTGTAATCTTAATTAAGTAAATTATTTTATATGTTTGTGAAAATAATAACCTAGATGATTGGTCCCAAACTGCATCTCAAAGCCGTCCTCAGTCTGCCATTCAGGACACGCCATAACCCCTGCGTTATTGATAAGGATATCCACTTTGGACTCCAATTGAGACAACTCTTTGGCGAAATGGCGGACCGATTGAAGTGAAGACAAATCAAGTTTTAATAGTTTTATGTCTGCCTTTGGANTGGACTCCAATTGAGACAACTCTTTGGCGAAATGGCGGACCGATTGAAGTGAAGACAAATCAAGTTTTAATAGTTTTATGTCTGCCTTTGGATTCATTGATTGTATCTCTTTGACAGCCGTCTCTCCTTTCTTCACATCCCGACACCCGATATATACCTGATATTCAGATAATTAAATATTTAATGTAATGTAATTTAACGTGCATTTTAAAATGTTTAATTTATATTATAAATAATTATAATAAATGTTTTAAAATAACCTTTCACTATAATTAAAAGTTTATTATTAATAAAAAATGTATTTATGTTTATCACTATTAATTGCTAGGAAATTATCATTAATCATATGATTATATGCATTTATATTTAATACAGTATAACTATTTATATTATCTGATAAATCATACAAGATTAAATTAATAAAAATTATTTTTATATACCTTGGCCTCCCTCAGCGTCATTTGGTACGCCGTCTCCTTACCGATGCCAGTGTTAGCACCGGTCACCACAACTACCTGTCCATTCAGTTTCTTATCTGTCTTTACTTTACGTCTAAATCCCAAGAAATTAGTCGTAAATTCATAGACCATTACCACCAGAAGTCGCCAGAAATATACTAATCGTATTTGACTCCACACACCCATTATTAAAGTATCAAGATAGTTTTTATAAATTCAAAACACAATAATATTTAAAATAATATCAACTCTTGTCTTAAACACAAGTCATATAATAAACACAAATTCCTGGCTATTGATTATTTTTGTAGGAATACTGTTGAATGCAATTCCTTATAAAGTAGTTATGAATGCGCTGTCATGTCTGTGCTAAACTACCCGCCCTCCTATGTACCAAATGTGAAGGCCGTGTGTACTAACCGTTTATGAGCTGTTGAAGTGTCTGTACAGCTCTCAAGGCATCCAAAGGTATCTGTGGACTAGAATAGCACTAAACGAACCAATCCTTTAGTATTTACTGTAATTGTTATCAATTTTAACATTAAAACATACTATAATTGCTATTTCACTACAGTGACATGCTACATGAACAATAAATCTTTCTCATAACAATGGTATAAATATTAAAAGTTTCACAAACGTACAATTTTATTACATGTAACATGCGCATTATTATAATATTTAGATATTTTTTTATAAAATATAATAATAAAGAATCTAAGCAATGAACATTTATTATAAATACGGAATAAGAACAAAGAATCAATTAGAGTTACCTTGCTAACTTTATATAATTCAACTTTAATCTGTTTGCTTCTATATTATTAAATTAACATTTAGATCAATTCAAATGTAAAAAACTAAATACAAAATAATTTTATTTTTAATTTTAACTCTAATGCCCTTGGTTATCTATCAGTGTACAGTATTTATTAAGCAATGTGTTAAATTTCAGTACATTTCTTTATATAATGATTAAGTGCATATTAAGTCCACATTTAGTCCAATATTAAGTGCAATTTTTTTAGCTTGTATATAAAGTAAATTAACACATAATTAAAATACAAATAAACATTTCCCAAAACAGATGAACAAAATCTATTAAAATGATCACATTATGTCAAATTCAAAAGATTTTAGCGGTAAAGTAGTGCTCATAATAGACTATCAATGATAGAAAATAATGATTTATAATTAATGTATTTTATAAACACTTTGTTTGTTGAATTTTGCAAAGAATATATACTAGTTAACTTACACTAAATTCACAAATATTGTATTTACTTTATAAACTTGTTCTCTATACTCATAATCAATCTTTTTAGCTTTAAAACAATATTTTTCCATTTATTTAGTATTCTTTAGTTATATTTGTTAATTTAATAAAACTCGTAATTACAAGAATTTTATGCATTTAAAAATATCTTATATACATATTTCAGCCATGTTCATTAATATCATTTTATTTGTGAAATTAAGATGGCAAATAATTTACATACACAGTATAATATAATAAAACCAATGACAACTTTTAATTATAAATAAGCTGTTTTAAATTTTCGACATACAACAAGATTTTATAATAAATAATAATATGAAAAATTTAAATTGTTAACTTGTTTCAGATTAAATACAAAATAAATATGGTATAAAATGTAAGATTTATTTATATTCTGAGTGCATCTTCCAGTGCCATCAAATCGCACGTCAATTCCCACAACATATGAGCGGTTTCGTCATCCGTCGCCTGTTTTACCATTTTATCCACGCGTTTACAATTGCTATCAAAAGAAAATCAAAAAATTATATTACAAAATATTTGGCAACTATTCATTATATAAATAATAACAAATTTTACCCCCGGGAACACTTTTTTCTAATTTATGTGTAAATAAAATCATTTTGCTTTTTATGATGCTTATATTTTATATGCTAACTTATTGTAATATAATATATTATGGCTAAAAGTACTGACAAATTAATATTGTAATATACAATTTATTTATAACATACTTGTAGTAAAATCCCGACTCGTGATCCAGTTCCTCCTGCAGCGTACAATACAATGTGGTCTGAGCGCCCATATCTGGCTTTATAAACATCATGTTCATCATGCCTTCACTCATATTACTGTGTCGTTGCAAATCAGTCTTAATGGCCCCGGGATTTAATACATAGCACGTAACGGTACTATTGTTACCCAACCGTTTAGCCAGTTCTCGGGTGCCCAGGACTACAGCCAGTTTGCTCTGACCGTAAGCCCGGGTTGGCGTGTATTTGCCGGAGGTTTATGTTATCGAAATTGATTTTCCCGATCGCGTGCATACTTGACGACACGTTCACTATACGGGCTACCGGTGCTCTCTTTATGTGTGGCAATAGGGTCAGGGTCAGTAGAAATGGACCTACATTTATATAATATGCTAGAATAATATTACATAATATTCTGTATTTATAAATAAATACCCAAATGATTGGTTCCCATTTGCATCTCAAAGCCATCGGTGGTCTGCCATTCAGGACAACCATAAACACCGGCGTTATTGATAAGAATATCCACTTTGGACTCCAATTGATACAACTCTTTGGCGAAATGGCGGACCGATTGAAGTGAAGACAAATCAAGTTTTAATAGTTTTATGTCTGCCTTTGGATTCATTGATTGAATATCATTGACAGCATCTCTCCTTTCTTTACGTCTCGACATCCGATGTATACCTGAGATATAAATCATGAATGAGTTTGTAATTAATAATTATTATTATGACACTTAAAACAATAACTATAACAACTATAATAAATAATTAATTAAAACCTTTGCTTCTCTTAATGATAATTGAAATGCCGTCTCCTTTCCAATACCAGTGTTACCGCCGGTCACCACAACTACCTGTTCATTCAATTTTCGACTACTTGTAACCACTTTTCAAAATCTAAAGCATGTATAAATTTCATTTTGAAATAATAATATAATTATTTTAGCACATAAAATATAATTTTATATAAAAAACTTTATTTCATATACAATAATCATTTTTGTTGTTAATTTTATAAAGTTATTGAATTAATAGTGAAAAAATTAATAAAGTATGTCTTAAATACTATTGTGTTTTGTTATCATATCTGTTATCAATATTTTGTGAGACATTATGTCCATTAAATCCCGAAATTAAATTAGCATTTGAAAAAGTACCTTTATCACCTAACACAATTAGTTCGAGAATTAAAAATATTGCATTTGATTTTAAAAATTGATTAAAATTAGCGTGCTCTAAATTTATTTATTATTCAATTTGTTGTGATGAATCCAACGATTTAACCGATGATAAACATTTAGTAATATTTATCAGGGGTATCGATAGAAATTTTAATATTATTGAAGAAATGTTAGATATGATTAAAATAACAAGCTCAACTTCTGATAATATATATGATTATTTAATTGAAGTTATGAAATCGTTTGATTTGGATTTTAGTAAGTTCATTTCAATTACTACCGATGGGGCACCAAATTTACGGGGTATTCGTAATGGGGTAGTTGCTCAATTAAAAAAATTATTTATTCAATTAAATATTGATAGAGAATTAATTGATTTTCATTGTATTCTCCATCAGGAGAATCTTTGTTCAAAAAATGTAGATATAGATAATATAATTAATACAGTCAATTCAATTGTAAAATCATTACTAAAAACCTGGGTTACTTCATAAAGAATTTAATGATTTTCTTAATCATGTTGATTCCCATTATAAAGATGTTAAATATTATACCCAAGTTAGATGGCTATCGAGAGGTTTATTTTTAAAAAGGTTTTATGATTTAATTGAAAATAATTGACGAATTCTTTAAGTTACGAGATTAACAAATAATTGAGCTATCTGACCCTGAATGGTTATTTAAATTAGCTTTCCTTGTAGATATAACTACATATTCGAATAATTTAAATACCAATTTACAAGGAAAAAATAAATTTATAATTCAAAAGTTTATCGAAGTTAAGCGTTTTAGCGAAAAATTGCAAATTATTTATAATGATATTGAAACAGGTGATTTTAAAAGATTATGTAACACCCATAAAATTTTGAACAATATTGAATATAAAAATATTAAATTTGATAGTAATTTTAAAGCATGTAAAGATTTATTAAATGAAATTATTACAGAATTGAGGGACAGATTTAAGGATTTTAAACTTTATGAAAATAAATTTAATATAATATATTTTTAGATCCTTTTCAAATAACAAATATTTCGCAAAAATACAATGAATTAACTAAATTAATTGAAAATGATTGAGGAAAAATTTAATCAATGTTATTCTTATGATGACAAAATTAATTTTTTTAAAGAATTTCCAGATGATTATTTAAATTTTAAAAATAATTCATTGGAATTGATTTCAATGTTTGGTGCCCAGTATATTTGGGAAATATTTTTTTCATTAAAATCGTAAAAATAAATTATCGTCCAATATATCACAAAAATATAGAAAAGCATTGAAAAAGATTTTGAATTTATTATTTGTTGCAGTAATTGCCTATGGCAGTAATCAATAATAAAATGCAATCTTTGAGATGCTCCAGAACAGTCATTTGATGAGATATTTGAAAAATTTAAAAACAGGCGTATTTCATTCTTCGAGATCTATACAATGTGCTAATTAAATTTACTTTGAACCTTGTAGTAATGTTAGAATAAAATCGCCATTTCCTCCCGGTGCTGCAAGTTAGCAAAAATTTTTAAAATTTTATATTAATAGAGATTTGAATTATCTACATTTTGCATATCATAACATTGTTCTAGCTCATTTGGTTTAATTTTAATAATTAATGGAAATTTGGTTTTACTGAGGTATCGGGCCTCCCAGTGTTAAAACTAAACATTTTAGGGAAAATCTATCAAGGGCATGTATCCTTTGATTTTGATGTTCTTTCAAATGGTACCATGATCATCTCTGTATCTCCTGTAGTTTTAGCTCCAGAGGATCAGCCGGTGCTAGTAAAATACCGGTGCTAGTACAAACTTATAACTTCTGTGCCTTGAAGTCAATAAGAATTGTAAAAATTTATATTTTTTGTTTTGTTTTAGCTAGCACAGTTTTCAAATAAAGGTCGACGCGAGTATTTTTGCACCAATATAATATTAAAGTAGGGTATTTATAATTTAAGAAAATCTTTAAATTAATTTTATTCAAATTATACAAATACTGTTATTGATTTACTATAATAGATGTTATACTATACTAAAGTAAGAATATTTGGTTTAGTGTTAAAATTTAAAATAAACAATTCAAATTTAATAAAATAAATGTCATCTAAATCTTAAATAGTTTTAAAGATTTATATTTAATAAATCATAATTTATAAATATAATTTTAATGAAATATTTTTATTTATGAAATTATTTATTTATAAATGCTTTTAAATCTAGTGAAATAGTTATGTTTGTAAATATTTCTTGAAAATCTTAATTTCCAAATGTTTATGAATTAAATCCTGAGATGATCTTCAAGTTTGACAAAGTCTTCACTCAGTTTCCAGAGAGCTTTGGCGGTCTTGTCGTCATTGGCTTCGGGTATCATATAATCAATTCGCCGACAATTGCTGTCAATTTAAATACCAATTAATTATTTGCAAAAACATATTAATGAATACAAGACATACTCGTAGTAATATCCGGTCTCGTCGTCCAAATCCTCCTCCAGAGCGCAATACAGTGTAGTCTGAGATCCCATGAAAGGTGTCAAAAATAGGTTTCTTCTCATAAATCCCTTTCCTTTTAGTTTATCATCGGTTTCCCCAAAATGTCTACTCAAATCCGTGTTAATGACACCGGGATGTAATGAATAAGTGTTGATGTAGGTATGTCTTAATCTTTTAGCCAACTCCCGGCTAAACAAGACATTTGCGAGTTTGCTCTGTCCGTAGGCGAAGAATGGGTGATAATCACCGTTTCGGAGGTTTATGTTATTTAAATGGATTTCTCCGAAATTATGGAGACCTGAAGACACGTTTACAATACGAGCCGCCGATGACTTCTTCAGTAATGGCACCAAATGTAATGTTAACAGAAAGTGACCTAAAATTATATTAATAGTCATTTTTTAATATACTGTAATCTTAATTAAGTAATAATTAGTAAATCATTTGATGTTTGTGAAAATAATTACCTAGATGATTGGTCCCAAACTGCATCTCAAACCCGTCCTCTGTCTGCCATTCAGGACACGCCATAACCCCTGCGTTATTGATAAGGATATCCACTTTGGACTCCAATTGAGACAACTCTTTGGCGAAATGGCGGACCGATTGAAGTGAAGACAAATCAAGTTTTAATAACCGGAGAAATTTAAATTATAGCCAGAAACAACAATATTGTACGACCTAATATTTACGGGTCTAGCTAATGATATTCGCCTAATTTGATCAATTTAATCTGTCAATATGGTTATCTAGTTTGAGTTAATACAGATTATACCTGCAAAATTTACTGACAAGTCACGATGTTCCCAACTCAGATCAAACTGTATGTCTAGGATTAAAAACTATTTTTCACAGGGCTAAATACATTATGGTAACACTTTTTTACTACAGTATTACTGTATCCGTGAAATGTTTTGATAAATTATTTTGCACGTAGAGCTACGATGCGAAAACATTGTACGCCGGGATTCATTACAGTAAGAGTGACAAAACGGTGAATATCATAACGAGTCATTATTGAGATTAATGTTAAAATATTTAAAGTTTTGTCACAAATAGATACAAGTACATAATAGAGTGTGTATTCAATTGCATAAAACTTTAGAGGCCTTTATACTTTCGACTATTATATAATGTTAAAAAGGCCAATTTGTATGTCCAATGCTAATCATTGTTAAATATAAAATACTAATCATTGACATTCGGATTCTCTTATTATTAAAAATTGTTAGTAATATCAGGTAAGTAATTACTGTATTATCATAATTATCAATATCTATTTGATGAAATAACAATCTGATGTTTAGAGTTGTAGCCCCTGAAATGTTTGTTTTGCTTGCATTGCATTTTAGTGGATAAGTTATATATTATATTATCTACTCCAAATGCTATACAAACGTTTCAAACCCTCCAGGGTCACCAAAATACAGTTAAATAGTATTTTTGTACACAATAGTTTAATTGAGATTTGAAGACTCACAATTTGATTGATTCAGTTTATTTGTCAGGCATAAAGATTGTCAAGTTTATATTTATGGGGGGAAGGAGGGGGTGTTTAAAAATGAAATGTATTTTTGATTTGAAAAATTTGAGCCCCTACTTACAGGATGCTCCCTTATAAAATTGTAAAATGATAATACTGTATATGTAATTAATATTATAAATCAAATCATACAAAAAGCAGTGCGCAGCCGAAATTATCCATGATTTATTAATAATTGATCCTGTACATGTATTTGATGAGTCATCGTTGCTGTAAATATATTTAAATAATCACCATATTTTTTGTTTGACCCTAAATATACCATGTAACAATAAATGTGTGCATATAAATACTGTTTAATGTCTAATGACACATTTAAAAATTCATTATAACATACTACAGTATTAGATAGTGCTAGATGAATTTAAATTATTAATCTATAATAATGCAGTATCTATTTTATTACATAATGTTACATAACATGTTTAAAAGTTTAAAGTTTAAATCAAATGATTATGTATTCATAACAAAAGTTATGAAAAGTTTATATTGTAATAGAGAACTAAATACGAGGACTGTTTGCATATCCTTTCAGTCATTGTTGTAATATTTAGACATATTATATAAGTCTGTATCTCACAATAGACTCACTTCTGTATTACACATCTCCTGATATGTTTACATAAAGTATATTTTTCTAGTGGTCAACACAAAGTCTTTATTTTTTAATCACTACATTTGGCGTCCACTCCAGCGATACGGACCTGAAAACTATTGTTTCCTAAGAGTGTGTGCCGTTTGTGGCACCGGCCATGGGGTCGGTGCCCACCATGGTCATTATTTTGGGAAGTTTGTATCACTAATATTTGCTTTCGTAGCGCCTATTCATGGATCTAATGTCTTATGAAAACATACTCTGAAGACATCAAAGTTTATCTCAAACATAAGTATATAGTTGTATGTTCTGTGGCACCGGTATGTAAGTGCCGTTCACAGATACAACTCATTTTCTGAATTGTTTTACTGAGACTTTTGTGACATTATGCCTAAAAATATACTATTGGTTAATTTGGCTAATTATTCTTATACTTGTAAATTATAATACATTACAAATAGTGTAAACTAAATGAGTGCCAAATTTTAGACAAATAATTACTATTGTTTTCATTAATTTCCACATAAATTGTATTTAATTTTTCGTAAGAATTTTATATTTTATAAGATATTATTTTAGTACTGTATTTTATACTTATTAATTTTCGGTATAAATTTTAAATTGAATATATTTAATTATTTAATAATTTTATAAAATATTACGATATCAATTATACAGTACATTTATAACAAAATATTTTTCATTATATTTTTGAATTAATGTAAGAAATCGTTTTAAATTAGACAGTGAATTAGCCCAAATACAGCCTTGCTTATCTTAATATGATTTAAATATACAGTATAATATGTTATAATTAACAAATTTTTTAGTAATGAAATTAAGTTAATAATAAAATATTTGGTTATTAATTTGCGATACTTTTAAGAGAAATGAGACCACAAGTCATGAATTATACTGAAATATGTGGAGTTTTTATACATTTTATGCAGTTATAATAATTTCTAAATTTTAACAGTCGCATATAAGAAATTCCTTATAACCAATTATTTTAAATATTATAACATCCCTTTCCCTTCTTGACCAGGATCAATATCCTGATCTGGGACCAAGTCACCCGGATCTGCTCAAGAACATCTCTTAAAATATAATTTTTGAATGAGTGTTACGATTTATAATTATAATGCATAATAGAGGTGACACTTTATATGATAGTGTTTAGATGTGATAAACCTATGCGATAGACATGACTATCGGCACCACTTACACGCCATTCCTGGTTAATTGTTTTACTCAAACCTATAATTTTATTTTTAAGTACTTATGTATAATATTAAAATTTTAAAACCTCATTGCTGTTAACTAGTCCTATTACTATATTAGATAATTATAATATTGCATTGCTATCATTTAAACATGTCACATTAATTAGTGGCGGTTAGTATGCAAACTTTACGTATATTTAATAAGTTTATACTGTGAATAATAGTAACATTTCAAAAAAGATATTTTAACAATATGGCACGGCAATTTAGCAATACAATAATATTTAGCATAATTATTTTAATTCTCTATATATCAAATGAATATAAATTAATAAAGATACAGTATTAATATATTTCAGGCTATGAAACTATACTTAAATAAATTGATGTTATATTGTATTCATAAAAACTATTAGTTCAGTTTATAATTATATTTCCTTAATTAGACTTTAATCTTAATTCACGAAATAAATAAATCTCGACAGTAAACGTAAATAAATCATAGGAATAGAAACCGATTACCGGTCCAATGGACAGTCGTTCAATAACTTCTACAAGTTTTGATTTCAAACTGATCGGCAGTTTGTGTCGACATTTAATTAAGTGGACAGTACTAATATTACCATAAGTCGTATAAAGCATATTAAAACCAATATACTGGAAAACTAGCCTGTTATAAATTTACCTTATAAATTACAATATTGATATAGCATTTAAGTCTAAAACAAATTAATAAATATTGGGTTTTCCAGAAAGTTTTGCGAGGTAAATTTTGAAGCTTAAAAATCAATATTTCAATAACCAATAATGGTATCAAAAATATTTTTGAACCTCAACTATGGTTTTTGCTCACATGTATTCTCCTGAAGAGACCAGTGGATTAGAGCACCGGTAGCTTTTATGTACAGCAAAAACTATAAGTCATAGAAAAACAATCGACATCTCGTTAGAAAGAGCATAAAAAATGATCGAACCCGTCTATCGGGATTTCTCTAGTAAATGCATCAATTTTGAACAGGGAGGCCCGGTATTTAAGAATATTGAATAAAATAAAGATAACAAAAAATAAGATTAAATCCGATTAGACCATAAAAATGTGCTTCAAAAGGAGATAAAAATAGCATTTTAAACCTTTAAGATATATTGAGAAATAACTAATCTAGGTCAAATCAAAATCCTTATGTTTTACATATTCATCAAAATTTTCACAAATTTTCAAAGTTATCTAGCTCACGTATTTGTTGAGATATTTTTAAAATTTCAAATTCAAATGTTATTCATATTTTGAGTAGTTTTCGATGGCCTAATCAGATTTTCAATTTAAAATAATTTTTACAAAATCATGACCTACCGGGCCTCCCTGTCCCTAATTGAAGCATTTACAAGAGAAATCCCGAAAGACGGGTTCGATCATTTTTTATGCTCTTTCTAACGAGGTGTCGATTGTTTTTCTAGGACTTATAGTTTTTGCTGTACATAAAAGCTACCTTTCCCAAACTACCGGTGCTCTAATCCAGTAATCTCTTCGAGTGAATACATAAGAGCAAAAACCATAGTTGAGGTTCAAAAATATTCTCAATATCTCTATCAATTGCTGAATAAATCAAACCTCGCAAAATTTTTTGGAAAACCTAATATTTACGGTAAAGGAAAATAATTAACAATAAAGATAATTATGGTAAACAATTTGTTATTATATTAAAGTAGGGTATTTATAATTTTAAAAAATCTTTAAATTAATTTTATTCAAATTATACAAATACTGTTATTGATTTACTATCAGTACTAATAGATGTTATACTATACTAAAGTAATAATATTTGGTTTAGTGTTGAAATTTAAAATAAACAATCCAAATTTAATAAAATAAATGTCATCTAAATCTTAAATAGTTTTAAAGATTTATATTTAATAAATAATAATTTATAAATATAATTTTAATGAAATATTTTTATTTATGAAATTATTTATTTATAAATGCTTTTAAATCTAGTAAAATAGTTATGTTTGTAAATATCTCTTGAAAATCTTAATTTCCAAATGTTTATGAATTAAATCCTGAGATGATCTTCAAGTTTGACTAAGTCTTCACTCAATATCCAGAGAGCTTTGGCGGTCTTGTCGTCATTGGCTTCGGGTATCATATAATCAATTCGCCGACAATTGCTGTCAATTTAAATACCAATTAATTATTTGCAAAAACATATTAATTAATACAAGACATACTCGTAGTAATATCCGGTCTCGTCGTCCAAATCCTCTTCCAGAGCGCAATACAGTGTAGTCTGAGATCCCATGAAAGGTGTCAAACATAGGTTTCTTTTCATAAATCCCATAAATCCCTTTCCTTTTAGTTTATCATCGGTTTCCCCAAAATGTCTACCCAAATCCGTGTCAATGGTACCGGGATGTAATGAATAAGTGTTGATGTAGGTATGTCTTAATCTTTTAGCCAACTCCCGGCTAAACAAGACATTTGCGAGTTTGCTCTGTCCGTAGGCGAAGAATGGGTGATAATCACCGTTTCGGAGGTTTATGTTATTTAAAT